GCCTTTGGGATTGCAGCACACTTTCTTACTATTAGAGCAACAGAGTAAGATAACAGATACTGAATAAAATGAGTGAAGAGAAAGTTGGTATGCAGTAAGAGGGATGATCAGACATTGTAGGTTTTGTAATTGATGTTAAAATATATGTGAATGATTGGATGAAAAACAGATATGCTTTGTTAACTTTCGTTGAAATCACAATTAAAAAAGAATTATGAATTTAAAAATTTAAGTCATTTATTAAGTATTATGTATATTATCCTTTTCATTAAAAAATAAAATCTAAGATGGGGAATGATTGGCTTTATGGCCAATAAAAATGGGTTTTGACCAGTTACCTGCAGCTGATGAGCTCCAGTAAGAGCGAAACCAGTTCTCACATCACTGAAACAGTTGTGAAGTGTGAATTGGTCCTGTAGTACTGTGTCAGAAACAACTTGGAGGTGCGGGGATGGGGTGGGGAGAAAGTGCTTGAATTAGGAAGAATTTTGTGACTGTGCTAAATTTTAAATACCGTGTTTTCCTCTAATGAGTAAGAGTTGCTAAAAAGTCAAATAACTTGTTATTTTTTTTCTTTTAAAAGACAGAGAAATATAAATTGTAATCTATAATAATAATCTCTAAATATGAGTGTGAGTTTGATTTGTACAGGCACTTCTTACACTTCCTGTAAACAAATGGCTACTTTTACAACCCTCCTCTTTTGCCTGCTACTAGGCTGTTCCACTCTTTCTTGAAGACACATCTCAAGAAAGAAAAACTGGGCAGCAACCAGACTGTCATGCCTAAGAATTGCCAACTGGAGGCCCACAAGAGGACCTCTCTCCCGGCTGCTATCACTTGTGTATTTATTTCTTCTCTGGCTTCTTTGGGGATGGCTTTGTTCCGTGTATTCATGTAGATCTTCTTCTTTGCTGTTGTTGTTTTTGGGTACCATTAAGCTGACTATGTCTCACAGCAACCCTATGAATAATAGATCTGAACATGGCCCTAGTCCATACCATCCTCACCATCTTCCAAGACCATTGTTATATTCTCTGTCAATCCATCTTGGTAAGGGTCTTCCCTCTATGATGTTTTTTTCCAAGGACTAGTCCTTCCTATCAGCACGTTCAAAGTATGCCACATGAAGTTTCACCATCTTTGCCTCCATGGATCTTACTACTCGTTGCCCTTCCTCCAAGACAACTTGTGTGCCTTTTTAATCAGTCCCCGGGGACTTGGTACTCTTCTCCAGTACCACACTTCAAAGGCAAGGATCTTTGAGAAATTCTTTTTCCTTTTGCCTGCCAACCTTTATTCATTTCAGTATCAGAAAATAAGGTTTGCAAGCTAACTTGTTATTGTTGTTGCTGATTGCTGTCAAGTCAAGCAAGACTTATAGCAACCCTGTGAACAAAAGGTCTGAAGCCTTTCTATAACTATCATCATTTATCAAAGTTCATCGTTTCCAGAGGCATGTTTAGTCAGTGGATGCCACTCTAGATTCCAGTTTGTATGATGACTCTCTCAGAAGCATGGACCTATTACTGCGAACCAATATAAGAAGTGCACCTGGTCTAGTCCATGGTCTTTACCGTTACTTAATATGCATCAGAGAACTGGAAAATGACTAAGGATGACAGAAGAAGAATTGATGCCTTTGAGTTGTGGTGCTGGAGAAGAGTCTTGAACATACCATGGACCTCAAAGAAAACAAATTTGTTTGTCTTAGAGAGGGTGAAACCAAGTTTCTCCTTGGAGGCTAGGATTTTGAAGCTCTGTCTTACATGCTTTGGGCAAGTGGCCAGGAGGGATCAGTCCTTGAAGAAGGACATCATGCTCGGAAGGGTGGAGGGACAGCACAAGAAAGGAAGCGCCCAGATGAGATGGATTGATATAGTAACTAGGGCAATGGGGGTAGATGTGTCAGAGTCAGTAAGACTGGCTCAGGACAAGGCAGAGCTGTTGTACATAGGTCACTATGAGTTGCAGGCGACTTGACAGCACATAACAACAACAACAATACAGGAAGGACTTGTTTATTGAGACTAACTTTTGCTAGGTTTACAGAGTGTAATATGTATAGCAGCTTCGGTAATTATAAGGATAGTACATGTGTTTGTTTGTTTTCTTAGATGAGTGTCCATCAGAATGGGGAACATTTGTTTACTGTTTTGCACTGCCCTATACTTTATATATCTTGGTTCCCCAAATAATTCTGCAAACTGAACTCAATTGATTTCATTTCACTGCCAGCCTCTAGATAAAATTTTAAAAATTAGTGTAATAAAGAACATATTTGTTAGATTTACTTATTATTACTGTTGTTTCGCTTGAAACTTAAGACGTTTATTTCCGATGAAAGCTCAGTGCACTCTTGGAAATGCAGAGATCATTTCAGACAGTCTGGAGACTTCTTGTTCAGAAGTATCACTGGGTAAACTGTGACAGTGGGCTTGATGCTTTAATTTCTTTTCACTGAAGGAAAATGTAGAGGAAGATACAGCATTACAGGTGGCTCCTTAGACATAATTAAGCTCTCAGACTGAGTAGATTTGAGGTGAGGACAAAGTCACGGAAATACTAATGTACAAATTAGGGTACTTGAGTAGCTTATTCCAGAATGATATAGTGAGTAGCTTAGTCCAGAATGATAGAGTGAAACACTAGGACTTTAGGAATGTTTTCAGAGGTCAGATTGGAAAAGTTGTCCAACTGGTTTACTGAAGAGTCTCAAGGAAGAGATAAAGAAATCATCTGTAACTCAAACCCTCAGGCTGAAAAGATACAGTCAACTATGAGCTCTTGGTTCAAATTACCAGAGTGGCTGAATTCTAGAAGAGAGTACGAAAGCTTGAGGACTGAACTTTGAGGAGCATGAAAGCTGAGTGAGAGTAACCAGTGTTCCCTCTGCTTTTCCACTGAGAAAGCATAGTGCTCGGTGCAACATGTAAAGGCCGTAATACTGATGAATAACAAAAGGATTTTTTCACTTTCTCTGTAACCTAGTTTAATACATGAAACTACTTTCTTCATTAGTTTTTACACACTGATTTCTAAATTGATAAGATTTAAAATGTAACAGCAACACATTCACCAAGTATTTGTATGTGTATGTATTTTGTGGGAGGGAGAGCAAGAGACAGTGCATAAAGTATATCTTTAAGTGGTACTTTGGAGAATATAGCTGGCTAATGCCATGTTTGACATTTTTTAACTTTGTCCCTAAGAATACAACAAGGGAGCTCTGGTTGCCTGGTGGGTAAGGAGTCAGGCAGTTGAAGGCAGGCAGTTCAAAGCCACCAGCTGCTCCTGGCTAGAAAGATGGGCAGTCTACTCCTGGTGATTTACAGCCAGTGTAAACTAGTTCAAGGGTCAGCTTTGAGTCAGTTCCAGCTTGATGGCTCATAACAACAACAACAGAAATACAGCGGAGGGAGCTCTGCTGGCACAGCAGTTAACCATCAGCCGCTCCTCAACAGAATTATGTGTGGTGGGCTGCTTCTGTGAAGATACGGCCTATGGGGCAGCTGGACTCTGCCCTCGGGGTCTTTATGAGCCTGGGTCAACCAGGCAGCAGTTGGCGCTGGTTTTGGTACCGAGAAATACAACATACTTAGGAAGCCATAGCTTGGTGATAAAATAAATGGAGGCAGTTTGTAATGATGTTTGAGTGACTGTTTGGAAACATAGGTTGTACAGGAAGGTAATAGAGTATTAAGACCAATGTCCAAAAGACATTTTTATTTCATGAAAAGGCTGGTCTGCTTTTGTGCCTTTTTTTTACATTTATGCCTCCCAATTTCTTTATTTCTAGAGTAATGCTTTTCAAATACTGTGTTTTAATACATTTCTGTGTGTGCAGGCTCTCATTTAGCAAATATCTGAGAAACTTCTCTGTGTTAGAAGCTTTATACAATCAAATACCCAAGTCTATCATGTTTCATTGTCCTTAACAAAATTTAATGCAGCATTCTGAGGAAGGACCCTACCAGATTTTTTTTTGTTGTAGGTGGTGTTTTTTTTTTCCTTAAACCATCCTCTGACTTCTGCCTCTACCAGACTGGAATGAACCTGCAACTTATTTCCTATTATTCCAAAGTTTAATCTTTATGTTTTGTCATGCATAAGTACACCTTACATGTGGAACTAGTTCTTTTTATATTTCTATCAGTTGTCTTCTGTTGATTTCTATCTTGCCAATCTGCTTTATTGATTTCAGACAAGAGAGAAGACTATTTTTCATCAAAATTGTAGAAATATTTTTATTTGTCCCAAGATAATTTTTGAAGTTAGCTGATTTTTATAAAATGGCTAGTAGAATAGTGGCTCATGAAACAATATAAAATTATAGTCTAACCTAGTTGATTGAACTTTTCAAATGTGGCTTTTATGACCTAAGTGTATATATTGGCTCTATTTGATTTGCACTGAACATTGTTTACTTCTGTGAGAACGTTTGAAAAATCACTCTAGTTCTTCCTGGATCAATGTGCCTGTCTGAAAAACAGACTCCTCTCAGCCTCTCTTACTGCCTAATTTATTCTCAGCTCGCCTCTAGTTTCTAGGTTCTAGGTGGTTGTGTCGTACTAATGTTTAGTATTCTCTTTTATTATCTTTGTAGACAGTTAACTCTTCTGGTGCTTTCACTCATTTCCCTCTTATTTTCTTAATAGATACTTGAGGCAGTCTTCCCCCCACCCCTTATGAAGCTGAAGGAATTTGGTACTAACCTTCTGATTATTAGTCTTATTCTTTGCCTAACATCAAGATGTTCAAGAATGCAAGGCTGCAGCTGAAATTAACTAGTGACATGACAGGCTGAATGGGAGGAAGTTAAAAATCAGCCTTTATTGCAGCCCTGCTGGTTACAGTATTCTTGGGTCAGTTCTGTGTTGGTTTTTTTCTCCCAGAAAGGCTTCTGAAGGAATTGCTAGTGGTGAAATTTGTAACCTTAGTTATTATCTTGGTTTTTTAAAAATGCCCCTAATTTGAATGTTTTGATTTTCTTAGATGTAAAATGAAGATCAGGAGCAGATCTGAAGAAATGCAGAGTGAACTGGTGCCAGTCAGCATGTCAGAGACGGAGCACACAGCCTCCACTTCCTCTGAAGAAAGCAGTGGGAAAACACCGGAAGGAAAGGAAGGCTCATGCAATTCTGCTTCTGGTGATGAAAGCAGCAGCTTGGAAAATGACCCACGGCCATTGTCCCCAGGCTTTGATACCACTTCATGTCGCCCCAGTGAGCACAGTAGCAAAACTGAAGCACAGAAAGATTGCATTTCAGATCATGGTGGACAGGAGGGTTCTTGTCCTAAAACAGACATATGCCCAGAACATTCTGAACAAATGGCTCAGTTTCCTGTTGGAAATGTTTCAGAACAGGTTTCTAAAACAAATGAAACAGAGCAGACAGTAACACAGATATTGGCAGAATTAAGGTCATCTACATTTACAGAAACAGCTGACCAAAAGACTTATTCAGAGAGTCCCTATGATACAGCTTGTACCAAGAAACTGATTTCAAAAATCAAGAATGATTCTACATCGGAGGATTTGTTAGAAGAAATCGAATCTGAGCTCTTATCTACAGAGTTGACAGATGAACACCGTGTGCGGAATGGAATGAATAAGGGGGAACATGCATTAGTTATGTTTGAAAAATGTGTACAAGATAAGTATTTGCAGCAGGAACATACCATAAAAAAGTAAGTTTTTGAACACTTTTAGTTATTTTCTTTTCCCCCAGGGATTGCATAATTTTCTATTTTTAATCCCAAAGTAGATGGTAATTGACACCTTAGTTGTCGAGTGTGTATGTATTTGCTGAATAATTAAGTAAATATCAGCTTTGTTTTGTTATTAATATCTAAATATAAAGGATAACTCATTAAATAGTTTAAATTCATTAGGGAGCTAGAAATCTTTATAAAGGCAAGTTGTATTAGTTTTGAAAGACGTGAGAAGTGTATTATCAAAATTAAAAGAAATTCAAAGTCATAAGATGTTATGACATTCAAAGAGGTGTTCTTATAATCTCCATTGTAAATTCTTTAAGGATTAAACTTTACTAAAGAATTGGTTGATGATACATTTAATTAATAAGAACAGTTATTTTTAGACTTCCTTTAAATTTATGGACTTCATTTTTATTTAACTAATATTTTCATTTAATACTTCTCCTAATAGTATTAACAACTACTCAGAATTTTAAGTTTAATTACAGGAATGTAGATGTTCATTTGGAAGCTTTCAGAAATGACAGTAATGTGTACTAGCTGTCATAGGTTGAATTGTCTTCCCTGTAATACGTGTCGGTTTGGTTGGGCCATGACCCAGTGGTTTGGCAGTTATGTAATAATGTAATGATCCACTGAGTTGGGATTTGATGTGACTAGCCAAAAAGTTGTAAGGGAATTAGGGTGAGATGCAGCACCCTTTCTCAAGTCACAGCTCTGATCCTGTATATGGGGTGTTACTGGGGTGTGGCCTGCATCACTTTCTATCTTACAAGGCTGAAAGGAGAGAGAAGAGAATGAGGAACTTTGGTACCACCAAGAAAGAAGAGTCAGGAGCAGAGCATGCCCTTGGTCTCAGGTTCCTTTGTTGAAAACTTTCTAGATTCAGGAAGATTGATACCCAAGATACATGGAGATGAAAACTTAACTCTAAAACCACCTCTAAATTATAGGTATCGGTTAGAGGTAATATCTAACTCTCTTAGTATGAAATTCTGCCTTATTTATCTAGTACTTCTTTATCAGAAATACCACAAATGGGTGACTTTAACATAAATAAAACTTTAGATTATTTTGGAGAGACTGTTGGTTGAATTATGGACATAAAAGATAACCCTGGAAGGAGCTCATAAGAATGTGAAGAAAGCTATAATACCAGAGATGGTGCAGGTGGTGAGAAGCGGCAGAACCAGGATACCAGCAGCGCGTGAAGATGTTTCAATTGGCCCACAGGACAAGATTATTGAACACCTTTGAGCAAGAGGTTTGCTGGCAGAGTGGGTACCTCCGGGCTCTAAAGAGCTTGGTAACACTTGAGTAAGGAGGGCAGAGGCTGAGCCTATCCCAGAGGCCCCAAAGGTTTAGGAGCAGGAGCTCTGAGAACCAGGTGGTAGAAGCTGAAGTGACAAGGAGCATGGAAAACAGAGCTGCCTTGTTCTTGACGGATAGGTGACAACGTCTGAGTCTCAACGGATGGTGTTAAAGCATCCTAATCTGGAATGTGGGGCTGCCATGTAAGAGTGCCAAGGTGAAAATGCTTCCCAAAGCTGGGGGGATAGGCTGACATGTCCAGGTGGAAGAAAAGGGACCTGCCAAGGTGAGGGAATGAAGTGGCACTCAATTGAACAGGAGAATGAGGCCACTCAAAGCCAAGTCATCAGAGTTGCCATTCTAGGGAGCCTAGAAGACAAAGCTAACGCTTAGGCTGAGGGGCCTCCATCTAGAATCCGGAGAAGATGTCCCTCATCATGTTCTGGTAGGCAGGGCTATTGTTCAAAAGGTCTTGGTGAACAAAGGATTCTTTTTCAAGCCATGAGAGCTAATGTAAATTTTTCTACTGTGTTTTTTGTTGTTTAGTGCCTATTACCCTTACTTCCCCTATAGTTTCTTCCAATTTTCATAGAAATATGTAACATTTAAGTTTTGCCATTCTACTTTGGAACCAGATAACTTGTGTTCTAGATTTACAGATGAAGAGAAATTTTCCCCAAGATGGGTTTTGGATTTAGACTTGTTTTCAGATTTTCAGGATGGTATGATGGATTGGAAGGAAGTGTTCTGCACATGTCAGAAACATGAATTTTGGAAGACTCAAGGAATGGAATGTCATACATTGAATTATTCCCTCCAAATGGCCATGATTCTCAGTGGCTTGGCAGTTACAGGATGATAAATATAATTCACTCCCATTAGGTGATCTCAGATGTGATGAGCCAGTATTCTAAGGAGGTTAGGATAGGAAGCAACACTCACGCAGGTCACAGTGCTAATCCAGTGTAAAGGGAATGTCCCTTTGGTGGAGCTTGTGTCACCTTTTATCTTACAAGAAAGAAAAGGAGAGTGAAGAGAACAAAGGAGGAGCTAGCTACACCAAGGAAAGAGCCAGGAGTGGAGTGCATTTCAGATCCAGTGTCCTTGTGCTGAGAACCTCCTACACTTGGCAAGGTTAATACCAAGACACATGGAGGGAGATCTCCAAGGAACAAGGACTCACCGATGTTGGAAAAAGATAAGAACCTTTCCCCCAGAGCTAACAGAAAGAAAATCTCTCTCTAAACTGGTCTCCTAAATTAAGAGAGGATAAATTTCTCTTTGTTAAAGCCATATTTGTTTTAGCAGCACTTGGTAACCAAGACACTGGCCTTAGCTAACCTATAGTCTAATTATCTTTAAAAATACACTTTAAACAAATTCATCTGGAATAATTAGGGACGTGTATTTACGTGTGTAGAAACAGGGAGAGAGGAAATCCAGGTACACAAGGAACATGACCAAAAAAAACACAACCCATAGTCAACTATTGCCCAATAGAACATTCCCTGTTACTGATCTCGTGGTTTGCTCTTCTAAGTGATCTTGGTCAGTCGTTCTGACCAAAACCTGCTCACTGTGATTTCATTGTCTTAGCCAAGTATCTCAAATCTCTAGATGTCTCCTCAATACTACTCCAAAAGTAATGCCTGAAATAGTATATGATATAGTGCACCTAAGAATATAAACATTGCACACAGTTGGTGTTAGGTAATGGCTGTTGTTATTAATAATCCTGGGCCAGTAGCTGTCAAAAATGCCATATAGTTCTTACTGTCTTAACAGTATATTGCAGGTAGTTGTTAAGATTTTCTGTTTTTTCAGGTTCTCAAATTGACATTTCTGTTGAAACTTTTATTTGCTTACTTCATATTGATAATGTAGTGCATAATATAATTGCACAGCTAATGGAGAGGTTGGTGGTTCAAATATATACCACCATATACCACCTTTCACAGAACAAAGATGAGCAGTTTCTTCACATAAAAGATTTATAGCTTTGGAAAGCCAATGAGCTGGAATTGACAGCAGTAGGTTTGTTTTATACGTCTGTAACTTTCAGAATATCATGAAAATATTTTTAAAATCTAAAGCAGGATTTGTTGACTTCAGCAAGATTGATACCTTGGACCAGGTTATTTTCTATTTTAGGAAGACTGTGTGCATCCTCTGCTCACCAGGTAACAGCCATCAAGACACATCCAGGGTCACAGACCGTGGGCAGCGTGCGACTACACTCCCTTCCCCCACCCCACAGGTGTTAACAGCTGAAAAGATCTACAGACTAATGTCTGGAGCAGTCAAACGCCCCCTGGGGAGTAAACTCAATTCTGGTTTAGAACTGAACTAGAGAAACTAAATGCATAGTTGAGATTCCCAGAGGCATGTACGTAAAAGTATGTGGTTTTCTTTATCTGAATATTTTTGATCTGAAATGCACAAAATGTTTCTAGGAGAAAGACAATAATCTTATTGACCAGAGTGTTGGACAAAGCAAAATATATGATTTTAAAAGACTGTTTAGAAATGTAAGCATAGCTATCTTTACATTTCTCCCCCATCTCATTTTACCTCCATTTTTACTTATATTTTACCTTTACCACCCTTTTAAAATTTTAGGTTAATTAAAGAAAATAAGAAGCATCAAGAGCTCATTTTAGACATTTGCTCTGAGAAAGACAATTTAAGAGAAGAACTTAAAAAACGAACAGAAACAGAGAAGCAACATATGAGTACAATTAAACAGGTAAAAAGCAGAAAATGTTAAAGTCCAATTATAAAAGAAATGCATTCCTGATGAGTTGTGTATAAATTAAGATTCCAAAAAATATGCTCAAACCTTAACTTATATTTTAACTGCAGAAAATTACTTGATATTTAAAGCATTTTATTTCATAATATAGGAAAAGAATTCTAATTTTTGAAAGTAAACCTACATTTTTAAATTATATGTGAATATATATTATAAAATTCTGAGAAATAAAGGATGATTTGACAGCTAGACTGCCTTTACTAATTATGTAAAGAAGCAATATACTAAAGGATTTTATTTAGCATTGGAATTTTTTTTAACTTACAGTTTAATATGGCTCCATGTTTAGTATTTTTATTTACTATATTGTGAAGATTGGCTGTTGAAATTTAGATTTTTGTCTTGTGAATATACCCTTGTCTGTCCTGTTCATTTCTTTCTTTTCCTTTCTTTCTTGCTCTCTTCCCACTTCTCTCCCTCTACTTCTCCATCTCTTTTCTCCTTTTGTGTGCCGTATAATCTATCTTCTGATACCTTGGGTCAACAAAGTGAGTACTTAGACTGGTAGCAAACTGAATTGTTCCTCTTTCTAAGCTGCTTTTTTCATCTGTGGACGAGATCTATGTGTTCTAGCCTTACGACCTTTTTTTCTCTTTGGCCCTATCTTTCATAAGAAGCTATGTAATGAAAATAATTATAAACAATAAAAGCAAGTCTAATTTGCTTATACTTGGAATGTGAGTATATGAAAAATTCTGTTACCTAGTTTTGTTTTTTTTTTTTGGTACTTTGTTGTTTGTTGTTACATATTGTCGAGTTGGAACCAACTCATAGCTGACCCTCCATTGGGTTTTCAGAGAGATTAAATCTTGAGTAGAGACTGCCTTTTTCCCAAAAAACCACTGGGGGATTCGAACCGTGTGCCTTTGGGTTATTATTGCGGCTCTTTATCACTAGACCACTAGAAACCAAACTTTACACTTTAAAGTGTAAAGAAACTGTAAAAATAGGCCGAATTAATCTTTTTGTAGTCAGGTTACTACTGATTACCAGAAACTTTACACTGAACTGATTAGAGGAAACTAGAGCTGTTCCACTTAAGAGCTCATTAGTGATTCTGTCCTAAGAGAACACTGGAGTTTCCTTTCCTTTGCTAGCACTTGAAGAAATTCTAAACAGAAGAACTGGTATAGCACACTTCTTTTTTTCCCCTCGTTATTCTTTAGTGGGTTGCTCTCGGACTTCCATAATACCTCTTAGTATTAGTTTCAAATGGTTTTAAAAAATACATTTTCATTTATGCTGGGTTGCTTACAGAGTTTGTATATATTGTTTTTCACACCAGATCTTTCCCATTTCCTTCACCCACCCCTCCCTCTACCCATTAAATTGTGCAACCCTACAATTACCCCCCTGCCCATCCTCACCCCTCTGCTCCTACTCCCTTAGACCTCATAACCATTTTACTATGTATCTTTCTGTTTCCACAATAATGGTTTTATACACTATTTATCTTTATGGGACTGAGTGAGCTCTCTTAACATAATGCTCTTGAGTTCCAAGTTATATAGTGATTTTTTAAAATCATTGCTCCTGAATGTGTAGTATTCCATTGTGTGAATGTACTACAATTCTCAATCCATTTGCTTATGGTTGGACATTTGGGCAGTTTCCATCTTCTTGCAGTGGTGAATAATGCTGCTGTGAACATTGGTGTACAAATCTCCATTTGTGTTTAATTTCTGATTTTCTCAGGGTATATTTCAACAGTGGAATAGCTTGGTCATATGGAATTTCTTTGTTCAGCTTTTTGAGAAAATGCCAAACTGCCTTCCAGAGTGGTTGCACCATTTTACAATCCCAACAGTGTCTAAGAGTTCCTGTCTCTCCACCTCCTCTCCAACATTTAATATTTGCTGTCCTATTGAACTTTACCACTGCTACTGGAGTGAGATGGTGTCTCATTGTGGTTTTGATTTGCATCTCTCTTATTGCCAGTGATTTGGAGCATTTCTTCATGTGTTTGTTGGCCATCCAAATAGCTTCCTCTGTCAGAGAGGTCTTTCCTTGTCTTTTGCCTATTCTGTAATTGTGTTATCAGTCTTTTTTCTTGTGGAGGCCCTGTAGGACTCTGTAAGCTTTTGTTATAAGACCCTTGTCTGAGATGGTATTGCCAAATGATTTTTTTATTCCCAGTCAGTAGGTTTTCCTTCCACTTTTTGGAAAATGTTTTTATACACGCAGGGATTTAATGTTTAGAAAGCCCCATTCATCAGTTTTATCTTATGGTTGTGTATTTCTGCCTGTATTTTTTTATATACCATGAGCAAGGCCTTCTAAGCCTCATAAGTCTCTTATGATTTGTTTTAGATTTGTATTAATTATAGGACATACAGAAATGTTAGTAACATTTAATTTTTATTTCTGTAGTGAATGCTTTCTTCATTTTTTTAAAATATTTTTATTATATTATTTTTCTTTGTACCATCAAATCAGATCTCACTGATACAGGAGGAGATTGCCCCCTCCTTCTCCAGCAAAGCATCTGGTGGATTTGAACCGCATACCTCTGGGATTGCAGTGCAGCGTCTTGCCACTAGGCCACCAGCGCTCCCTGCCTTCTTCATTTTTATGTTCAATCTTTATATCTATTTGAGGTATCAGTTCTATTCGTTGTAGCTATAAAAATAATATGGAAATATTTTTCTTTACAGTTGGAATCAAGAATAGAAGAACTTAATAAAGAAGTTAAAGCTTCCAAAGACAAACTGGTAGCACAAGATACTGCAGCTAAAAATGCAATTCAGCAGTTGCACAAAGAGGTGGCCCATCGGATGGAGCAGGTACTGTTCACATCGTGGTCTTTAACTTGATACTCTGGTGATTGTTTTACTAGAGTGTTTTGAACATTAGTAGTATATTAAGAATAATGATTTTATTTTTCTTAAACTTTTTTAAAAAAATGCTAAACCAATACATAAATATATGCAGGTTATGAAAACTAATGAAGGATGTATAAGGAATATGAAGGGAAAGCCTCCTGCCCCGTCAGTGTCTATCCTTTGATCCATAGATGCCCAGCATACACATGTACACATTCACACATGCATGTACACACACCTTATGCATAGGAATTTCATTTTCCTCAGTGATGTTTCCCCATTATCTAGACAGGATTGGTAGAATAAATTTCGACCTGACACTTCAGAGACGTAGAGCTGTGCTTGTAAATGCTGGAGAGTGTTATAACTTGACTCCTCTGCCCCCCACACAAATAGAGTTAACCTTATTATACTCCTTTGTGCAAGTCGAGAGGGGGGTATCTTTTTGGAGTGCATCTTTCACAGATGGTGTATAAGCCATTTTTAGGTTCTTTGTGCAGTGTTGGGTGGACATATTTAAAGTTGTATTGTTATGTGTCTTCGAGTCACCTGCAACTCGTAGTGATCCTGTGTACAACACCTGTGAAGCCTGCTCTATCTTGAGCCAGTCTCACTGACTCTTGTCACACCTACTCCCATTGCCTCAGATGTTGTATCAAACCATCTCATTCGGGGTCTTCCTCTGTTGTGCTGTCCCTCCACCCTTCCAAACATGATGTCCTTCTCCAAGGACCAGTCCCTTCTCGCCACATGCCAAAAGTGTGTGAGGCAGATTTTCAAAATCTTAGCCTCCAAGGAGAGATTTGATTTTACCCTCTCCAAGACAGACAGACCTATTTGTTTTCTCAGCTGTTCGTGGTGTGTTAAGACTCTTCTCTAGCACCCCAACTCAAAAGGCATCAGTTCTTCTTGTCATCCTTAGTCATTGTCTAGCTCTCTGATACGTAGCCCATAATTGTGAAGACCATGGCCAGGACAGTAATTTAGTATATCATTTTTCTACAATGTAGACTTTGTTTCTTTTATCTTAAAAGTTAAGACACATGTCCTGGAAATTATAATAACTAAAATATGTTCATGATATAATAGAAAAATACTATTTTGATGGTTTTTATTATTTGAAAAATACTTTTTATCAATGCTTGATAATATTTTTTCCAAAGGCCAGCAAAAAATGTGAAGAGGCACGCCAAGAAAAGGAAGCAATGGTAATGAAGTATGTAAGAGGTGAGAAGGAGTCTTTAGACCTTCGAAAGGAAAAAGAGATACTTGAGAGAAAACTTAGAGATGCAAATAAGGAATGTGAGAAAAGCACTAACAAAATTAAACAGCTTTCTCAGGAGAAAGGAAGGTTGCAGCAGCTGTATGAAACAAAGGTATAACTTGTGCGACTGCGCATTATTCACAAGTATTCTCTATGCTTTCTCTTCTTTAATCAAGTAATCTAAACATGGTTAAAGTACTCATACGCATTAAATTGTTTCCATTCGCTTCCCTTCAATGAGTGAGTGTTGTAGTAACTCCAGTATCTTGGCATATTTAGTATACTTTCATATAGTTGGTTTATAATACAGTTTACCTGTTTGTAAAAAGGTTTGAAAATGATTAACACATATTACTTATGAGATAGTTTTTGATAGGCTTCTTAAAAGCTATCTTTACATAGCTCATGATATTTTAGCTTTAAGGGATGATTTTTTTTTTTTTTTAAGTAAAATATGTATGTAGAAATATCAGAGTAAAGATGGTCCCGAACAGGGCAGGGCTTCCACCTGTTACCCCTAGGGCCAGTGTGAGTGGTTGGGTCTGTGGCACCTAACAACAACAATGACACTGTCAAACGTAAGCAACCCTGGGGGCTTGGTGGATTCTCTAACTCAAAGCTCGGCAGTTTGACTCCACCAGCTGCTCTGAAGGAGAGGAATGAGGCAGTCTCCTCCTGGAAAGATTAACAGCATTGGAAATCCAGTGAAAGGTCGTCATAAGTCAGAATTGATTAGGTGGAAGTGAGTTTGGTTTTTGAGTAGTGTCAACTGTGAAGAATTTTTAGCTAGATGTATAATTTGACCAGAGTCTTAATGAAAAACTTACAAAAGAACAAATTCACATGTTTCTTACAGAAAAGCACACCCTTGGGTGCTGTCCAAGTCTTAGATTGAATTCCTGCGCTCTGGCTGTTCCCAGGCAACCTTATAGCCTGGTCCTGTTTCTCGTGTATTAACATTTTCTGTGATAGATGTTATTTTTTAGTTACTAAGTTCTAATTCAGATATGGTACTGCTGTTTTCAAGAATTCTGATTTTGTTCAAATTTAGTTCAAATTTCACCCCAATGTCAGCCAATTGAGAGGAATCATAGAGATATGCTTATACACAAAAGACACTCAGTTGGTTAAAGTACAAATGTAAACTTTTTTCATGTATAATAATTGGATTTAACTATTTAATTCTCTTATATGTTGAATTTTAAATCCGTTTTTTTCCTTTTTAAGATTTGTATTGGGTGTGTTTTGAATTAATCTCTCACTACTTTGGGTTTTTCTGTGATTGAATGGACGTTTACAACGCAAATTGGTTGTCTGTTTAACCATTCATAAGCATTTCATTTTATGGCATTAATTGCAGCACACATAATCAGTATAACTGTACTATTTTTGCTTCCTCCTAAAATTGCTTTGTATGACTTTAGAGTAAATTTAAAGACATCTTAATCTGACAGAAATGTAATGTTGTGAGTAGAAGTGTAGGGAGCTCTGGTGGCTTACTGGTAAGAAGCTGCACTGCAGTCCTGAAGGCACACTGTTCGAGGCCACCAGCTGCTCCACAGAGAAGGACGGGCAGTCTCCTCCCATGGGATTAACTGCCTCTGAAAACCTGCCAAAGGGTCACCATGGGTCATTTCCGACTCTGTGGTACACAGCAGCAACACAGCAAGTAGAAATGTAGACCTTTTGAAAAGTGATAAAAGAAGTCTTTACAAAAATTGGTAGCATGAAGGAAAGAGATTGAAAAGGCTTCTCTAAGATTATCATTGCAAATCGTGGTGTGGTTCTCTTTCTGAGGATGGTTTACAACAAGACTAGTGACTCCGGCTGTGGGTTGAGTGTGTCAAAAAATGTGAGGATGGCGCAAGATAGGACAGGGGTCAGATCTGTTGGTCTTGGGGTCGCCATGAAGTTTGCCAGACCGGATGGCACCTGACAATAATAACAGAGCTCAGAACTATATTCTATAAATCATTGAATTTCCTACTTAAGTTTGAGACTATGAAAATAAAAAAGATGTCTTCTTATGAATATTATGCTTTAAAGTTAGATGCTTTTTGAATGAGTGTGGCCTCTAACTTTATAAAAAGCTTACTGAGGAGATTTCTTTGGAAAAGAGTATGGTAGGGTCAGCAGACTCTTCTTCTGTAAAGGGACGGACAGGAAATGGTTTTGGTTGGTCAGGCCACGTGGTCTCTGTCTGCCCTCGTACCACGAGAGCAGCCAGAGACCGTAGAGGCACAGATGAGGGAGACTATTTTCCAGTACAAGTTTATTTATAGATGCAGAAATTTTATGTCCTGTTCATGAAATACGGCTCTTATTTTTTAAAAAATTATTTTAAAATATAAAATACAGGAATTGTGCAAAAGCAAGTGGTGGCCAGTTTTGGCCTGTGGACCACCACGTGTGAGTTCCTAAGCTAGAATGTAGTATATTACATTGATGATTCTGAAGGGGTGTAACAGACTCACAAGTAATGACTAATTATTTACATGGAAAATTTGACCTGGTGTTGTTATTTTAGGAAGTGGAAACAACTAGACTCATCAAAGAGACAGACAAATTAAAAGAAGATGTCAACTCTCACATCATTAAAGTAAAATGGGCACAAAACAAATTAAAAGCTGAAATGGATTCACACAAGGTGAGTAGTAGAATCAAGTAATTGTTAGGATCCATTTTAAGAACAAATGCCACAAAGTTAGCAATAATGAGGCTTGGGCCTGAATATTTGATGTTAGCAAACTTTCTTACATGCTGTCTATATCAAATTAGTTGTCATGTTAAATTTTATCATTCCTTGTTTATAACCCCAAATTAGGTGGTTTCTTCAAACATTTCTGTACATTACATTTCATATTAAACATTGTCAGGTTTTTGTTGTTTTGGATTTTTTAAGTTTTTTCCTGAGGAATGGAGATCTGTATATTATAAAAATGGAAATAAAATGAAAAAAAATTTAAATATATAAGATGCTAAGATTCCTATTATTGAGAAATATTATTTCTTATTTAAGTATAATTTTGACTGTAGTGCAGATTTTAAAATATGTTTTCTTACCTATTATGAATATATCCCTTCTGGTACTATACCTAATTTGTATCACAAAAATAATGAAAACTAAAAACTATACCAAACTAAAACTAACCCTGACCCCATAATGTTAAGCACTAACTACATTGGTAGTTGTAGGTAGAAGGTAATGTAATCTGAAGATGATAGACTATGAAGGAAAAATAATAATTATGAAATATGACTTAAATTAGATCTCACACATGATAGGAACTCCTGAGAAATTTCCCTAACATTAGATTGACAGAATAGAGAATTTAAAAATCCATAGGCTATAGCATGGTAAAGATTTCTGACAACTTGATTTGCTTCAGAATCTGAGCTTATTGCTTGGTCTTAACATTAAGGTCTGTGGAGCTTTCTTCATCCTTAGGAAATTCCTAAGAGACGAGATGCTGAAATCTGTAAGGATACGAACATTGAAGAGGTGAAAAGAGAGATCTGTGAGCCACCTGTGTTTAGGAACTGGTGTAACAGCCACGTAGAGCTGCTTTAAGATCAGATGAAAGCAGACCCTCTGGGAGGAAGGTTGTCTAACAATCAGTTGTTCTGATACATGGAAATTGAAAACGTAACGATTCTTTTAAAAATAAAGACATTAAAAAAAAAAAGACATTCATTTATTAACCAGCAAGAGGTTAGTAAGTTTTCTGTGTTAGACAGGAGAAATATTTTGCCTCAGAAGATGCAAGATTTAATCATGATCTGCGCCCAACTCATGGAGTAAAAGAGATCAGATATACTTTTCCACTTAAACCAAAGCAAAATAAATCTATGAAACAAAAGTTTCTAGACACGGTACACAAGCAGTGCGGGACAGTGATCCTTGAGAGAAGAAAAATGAACGAAGGAATGCAAGGAAGGGGAAGCAAACAGATTCTAATATTACGACCTGAGTTAGCAGAGTTCAGAGAGAGCAGCAGGGCAAGTAGAGACAAGAAAAAGATGGATGTGCCATGTGTACCTGACTCTGTAGTACATGTGTGGGGTGAAGAAACTACAGACGTAAGGGGAAGAAGTTCTAGAAAGGACCACCCCTGGGTAGTCCTGGAGCTCACACAGGGCCTGCCTACCTGGTGCAGAAAACCTGTATTAGGTATTCATTCATTTTAACAAATGTTAAACGAGCAATAAATCTCAAGCACTGATGGAGGAGAAAACACAGGTCCTGCTGTCCAGAAGCTTTCTACTTCTTGGAGGAAACACAGACGCTCCACAGCAGTACAGTGTATATGTTGTCCCATCTACGGATGCCATGGCTTCTGTCTGAGGGTTGACAGAGCAGCAGCGTCTACCCCTTTTTTAAGGAATAATCACAGAAAGCTGTAAAGAGGCTGTGATATCTAAGTTCTCCCTTGAGCTTCAGAAGGTAGCCAAAATCACGAACCTAGATAATTCTTTGAAACAAAATTACGGATAAAGAGCTGTGGAACCAGGCCTGTATCTTAGAAGATCTTAAGAAGTCAGAAGCCTGTCAGCGAGAGAGGCAATGTCAGGATTTGGAAAGGAAAGAAGACACTATAATATAATGAATCAGGATGGAGAGTTAATAAAAAGTCTAGGTGGTCAGAAATATCTCCTGGAGCAGGTAAGAGTAAGAGCTCAGAAGATACAAAATTGAATTTAATGAGAGAGTAGTCTCTGTACAATTCAGAATTACCATTTTAAAAATTAGTTAGAAAAAGAAACCAAATAGCAATATGAACCCTTATAAAACAATTTGAACAGATACGACAGCCATAAATCAGAGTTAACTTTTTATTTGAATGTGGGAAGAATTATTTAACACTTTTCTTGTCTTAACAGCGATGAAGGTTGGTAACTTTTAGAAATTTAAAATTTAAGAAAACAAGTTTTAGTAGTTATCAGTTAACTGCATATGTAAGTTTCAGTTTTTGGCCAAATATTAGAATAGTTTCCGACCACCTCCCCACCCTACCCTCCTCAGAGGCAGTGCTGAGGCAAGAATTCTTTCTATTCCATGTTCTTACGTCTAAGTCACTGCTCAGCCTGTCGTCTTGATCAACTTAATCGCTTTTTTTTTTGTCAATGCAGGAAACCAAAGATAAACTCAGAGAAACAGCAACAAAGTTAACCCAGGCAAAAGAAGAAACAGAACAGATACGAAAAAACTGTCAAGACATGATAAAAACCTATCAGGTATTGACTTTTCAAATAGATTGATCATAACTATTCTAAACAATCCTCTTGTTTCAGTCAGTTTCTGTATCCGTCATATTTAAAGAATAGAATGGATTTGGTAGGTCTTTTACTTCTTGAAATTATCTTCAGAGCATTTATTAGAGACCTTATCAACCAACTGAAGACAGTAGAAAATGTTAGAAGAATAAAGAGTGCAATGAAATGTAAAACTTATAGCCAAAAAGCCCCTTTGCTATCCTTGTTCATGGAAAACTGACATGAAATTGTGCAGTGCAGTAGTGTTTAGATACATAACAAGGTATGGACTTCATAGTTTGAAAACTTAGTTGCTAAGCCTTCTTCACCTTTCATAATTAAAAAAACCCTTAAAAATTAAGTCATATATGTTTTTAAATTTCTGTTTAGGAGTCAGAAGAAATTAAATCAAATGAACTTGATGCAAAGCTCAGAGTCACAAAGGGAGAACTTGAAAAACAAATGCAAGAAAAATATGACCAGCTAGAGGTGAGTGGTTCTGCCTTGGCTGGCTCACAATTGTATAATAAATACAGACAGAATTACTTTCTAAGCCTACTACTGCTTTCAGACTTTTAAGACCTGTTGGAAGGAAACAGGAAATAAACTTTAAATTGAGTTTTGTATATACTGATTTGTGCTTTCTTCTAAACCTGATATAAGATGCATCATGCCAAAATAAAGGAACTAGAGGATCTGAAGAGAACATTCAAGGAGGGCATGGATGAGCTACGGACATTGAGAACCAAGGTAACTGCACCTTCGGTTGTAATTCCTGAGGAAGGAGAAAGATGGCCTTTCAATTCTAAATCATTTTTTATTTTTAAAAAGGAGAAAAGATATTTATATGTAGAAGTTTTCCAAAATGAAAGAACTCTAAGGATTAGAATGGCAACAAGATGAACTGTAGTGGAAATGAAAAATTCTCCACTTTAGTTGCCAGAGTGTTTGCCAAACGCATTTGCTGTATTTATGATTTGTGGGTCTCTGATCCAAAAGTAGTCTTACCAGAAAATTAGTGGAAGAGAGCTGGACCTTAGAACTGTGGATTATAGGAAATAACAGGAAAACCTACTTTCCGTTTCTCCTGTGTGTATTTAAGTCTTAGGATACAGTTTTAATTTCTGTTAGACCTTATCCAGTTTTTATAGTCTCTGTGACTATTTTGTGCCATTGAGTTGAGTATGACTCATAGTGACCCTATGTCTTTTTAATTGGATTACGACTGTGAAAAAGAGGTCTGGTTGCCTGATGGTAAGATTTGCACTGCCAACCCAAAGGCATGTGGTTCAAATCTACCAGCTTCTCTGCAGGAGAAGGATGGGCAGTTTCCTCCCATGAGATTTACTGCCTCTGAAAACCTGCTGACAAATCATCTGTGGTTAATTTGATGGTACATAACAACAACATGACTGTGAAATGTATTACAAAGGTTTATCATTATGTTAAAATAAGGCTTTTAAGTAACCACTTTGACCTTGAGCTACATAATCATGATTCAAAGTTGTTTTTGATATACCTTCTGGGCGGGGAGAAGGCGGGGTGGGCAGGGAGAAGGCGGGGTGGGTGGGGAGAAAAGTGCAACAGTGAATGAATGGAATTCCAAAATCTCTGTAGATGTTCATTGAAATGAAAACTAAATAAATTAATAAAAAAAAAATCAAAATATACCTTCCTGTTTGTTCTCCAAGCCAGTTTTTTGAGGTAGGTAGGAAGGGATCCTCTCTTTTCAGGTGAGGAAATGGGGATGCAGGAAGAATAAAATGACTTACTTAAACTCCATTACAAAATCTTGGGAAAGCAGAGACTAAAATTAAGACTTGTTAACTTAGTATTACTATATTATTTCATATTATATATTAGTTCAGAATTCAGCTTAGATTGTAACTATAGCCTCTGAAATAGTTTGTCAAGGACAAGTAAACACCACTTCTAGTTTAACTTGGTTCTGATCATTCGTAGGTGAAATGTCTAGAAGATGAACGACTAAGGACAGAAGATGAGTTATCAAAATATAAGGAAATTATTAATCGCCAGAAAGCAGAAATTCAGAATTTATTGGACAAATTGAAAGCTGCAGATCAGATACAGGAGCAGTTTCAAAGGTATGAGCGGAGCAGCTTCTCTTTGTGTCAACAGACTTTTAAAATCCTATTTGAGGATTCTATTTTAAATGCATTTACTTACATTAAACAAAAACAATTTCATTACTTAAATTTTAAAAAAATTCCTAATAACCTCATTTGACCTTTTTTTTCTTGGTTTTAAATTACGTATTTTGACTTCTAAAAATCAAAGTTTATATTCCTTAAACACTGGCTATAGCAACTTAGAATGGATTTCCTTGGCCTGTTGTTTAGCTTTCAAATTCTGTATTTTTTTCTTTGAAAAGGTAGATATTGGGAGCTGCCGGACAGGCGGCCGCCCCCCTCGCAAAAAAAAAAAACAAAACAAAAACAACCTAGATATACATTTGTATGTAGGGAGCTCAGGGTCAGGAGCTTATGTCACTCCTTGGCCCCTTATAAAACCAGTTAGCTAATCTCCACTCATTCCTGACAGGGCCTGGATTCACACTGAATCCAAATATCTTGTTTCCACACATTACATTGAATGTTGCTAAAGAAATTTTTACCGTTTGACAAGTTAGTGTTGCTAGAAAGCGTGCTTACTGACCTCACTTTTGACCCCAGCCAGGAGTCCTCGATCAGGGCCTTCCGCCCAGCTGTCTACTGTCTGCTCCAAACCACATCAATTTCTTTACACTTTAAATCCTCCCTTTTACTACTCAACAGACGATTACTTTTTATTTCACAGAAAAAAATGGGAACTGAAAGCCGACAGTGCTATCAGTTTCTTTCCAGTGATCCTATAAATTTGCCCGAACCTACAGGCTTTCTTCTTCCCTGCCTTTCCTTCTGCTGTCGTGGAGGAAATGTCCCTGCTCCTCTGAATCCCATTATTCTCTGGCCTTCCCTTGAGGGTACAAGGTTCTTCTGTCTTCTTCTCTCTGGCTGCAGTTTGATCATCACCTCCTGGGATTCCTCCCACCTTTCTGCCTGGTCTTCCTCAGTCTCCTTTGCAGGTTTCACTTTCTGTCCTAAGCCCTTCTTTAATTCTCATGTTGCTACACCTCTGTGATACCAAGTATTCTTTCAATTTGGTATCAGACATCCTTAGTATCAATCCTAATTGGTCCTTATTACTAGTCTCCAGACTCCTGAGCCTCAAAGGCACCTGAACCTGAACTCTTACCATGGCCAGAACTGACTCATCTATCCCCCTACTAACGTGCATCCCCTGGCTGCTTCTGGGGGGCTAGGAGGACTCATGAGAGCTCACAGCGGGATGACCAGCCCAGGAACTATAAAGAACTGAACTCTTCTCTCATTCCCTTCCTATATCTAACCAACAACAAAATGTTGCTATAATTCTTTAAGCTCTTTCAAGTCCACTTACTTGTTTACATTTACATTGCTACCATTACAGCCCACACCATTGTCATGCCGTCTCTTACATAGAGAACTGCTGTAGCTTCTTAACAAGTTGCTTCGAATCCATTTCCCACATTGCAATTAGCATCATTTATAAACAGCCTACTCTGTTCAGACTTTTCAGTGAGTTTTCCACTGCCTCAAGGATTGCCTCGTGAGCTCTCTTTCCATAGTCAGTCACTTTGTTGTTGTTAATGTGCTGTGGAGTTGGAACCAGCTCAGCGACTGCCCATCTTTCTCCTGTGAGCTGCTGGTGGGTTTGAACCACGTGCCTGGGCCTTAGTGTTGGCAGTGGAGTGCCTGACCACTAAGCCACCAGAGCTCCCTCATGGGCAGTGATCATCTTCTGTGTCCCAAACCCCGTTTTAGATGGTAGAGATACAGCGTATTCCTTACCTGTCAGAAATCATTCTCGGACACCCCCCAGCCCTGGCAGGTGCTGTCCCCTCTATGTGGAACATATTTTGTCCTCCTCACTTCTACTTTGCTTTTAGCTCAGGGGCCAGCAAATCATAGCCCATGAGCCAAATCCAGCTCATTACCTGTCTTTGCAAATAACATCTTCCTGGAAACCACCCACACTCATTCTTTAGTGTATTGTTTCTGGCCACTTTCATGCTACAGTGGCAAAGTTGAAGAGTAATACCTGAGATTACGTGACTCAAATGCCCATAATATTTACTAATAGCCCCTTGGTAGGAAAAGTTTGCTAATCCTTGCATTACGCATTAGTTTAATCATCACCTAGTGGTTAGATGACTTTCCGTACTGTTATCATCAAATACAATCTTCACATTCATTATGACTGTTGTTGTTGATTGCCATCGAGTCAGAGTCAAGCACGACTTAAAGTGACCCTATGAACAAAAGGCCTGAAGCCTTTCTAGAACTATCGACATTTATCAAAGTTCATAGAGTTTCCAGAGGCAGGTTGTTTAAGGAGTGGATGCCCCTCAAAAGGTCTTTGCATGCAGGGGCCGTACTGGACTTGTTTACTTAGACCTCCAGATCTTAGTTCCTGGCATTATTAATTAGAATCGTTATCATACGATTGATTCCGTCTCCTAACAGTCGTATAGGACTGAGTAGAACTCTCCAGTAGGGTTCCCAAGGCTGTAACTTCATTGATGCACAGTCACATCTTTCACCTAAGAAGCCAGTGGAGCGTTCAAACACTGACCTTTGGTTTAGCAGCCCAGCTGAACTTGACCTCCTTTGCGTTAGAGCTCCTCATACATCCGTAGATATTTGGATGAATGATTAAAGTTCCTTTAAAAACATTTCACTAGATGAAAATTCTCAAAGTACTAAGGTCTCTTAATAATGTAAGTTTTTCTTAAATATAAACTTTGTTTTTTAGAGGTAAACAAGAAATTGAAAATTTGAAGGAAGAAGTGGGAAGTCTTAATTCTTTGATTAATGACCTACAAAAGGACATCGAAGGCAGTAGGAAAAGAGAATCTGAGCTCCTCCTCTTCACAGAAAAGCTCACTAGCAAGAATGCGCAGCTTCAGTCTGAATCCAATTCTTTGCAGTCACAATTTGATAAGCTTTCCTGTAGTGAAAGTCAGTTATACCGCCAATGTGAACAAATGAAAGAGACAAATGCTCATTTGGTAAGTACAGAAATGGATTTATCTTTTCAGGACACATAGCAAGAAGCACATTCAATTTCCCTAGCAGCGTGGAAGTAATAGGAATTGATTTATTCTCTCTCCTGTTGGCTCTAGTCATTTCAGACGCGTTAAGAAATATCAGTTGTTCTTTTAACTGATGTGATTGTATAAATTATTTGCCAAGTGCTTCACTTTTAAAAAGAAGTAATCCAGGATTTCTCTATCATTCTCAGCCGAATTAACTATATTGCTTTAAAACCTACTTTAAATTTCTTTGGTTTAGTTCTATAGCTTCAGAGGCTTGATGTTTCTAAGTAATGTGAGACTATTCTCAGATTACTCATACAAATAACTTGCAGACTTTATACCCCAGATTCAGACCTGTGCCTGTTGTGAATGTATAAACATGTCCCTTGCATTGCTGTACAAGATGTTTGATTAGCTCAGCAACCAACACCTAGTCAGAAGTGATGCTAGAACATACTCCACTCTCAAGGACCTTGTCATTTCAGGGTTTGAAACTGTGAACAAAAATGAAAAGAAATGCCAGGATATTAAAATTGGGTTGTTTTGTCTTGCTTTTTCTATTTGCTACTTAGGAAAGCCGATTGTTGAAGGAGGAAGAACTACGAAAAGAGGAAGTCGAGACTCTACGAACTGAACTCACCTGTAGACAAACAGAAGTTCAGACATTGAGCACGCGGGTAGAAGAACTCAAAGACGAGCTAGTCACTCAGCGACGCAGACACGCTTCAAGCATCAAGGACTTCACCAAACAGCTTCAGCAGGGTAGGAACCACTCCCCGCCCCACCCCAGAACTGGAACAGGAATGTTTCCTTCGTTTTTTTTTCTCCATGTTCTACTACATTATTCTTGAAGATACATTTTTAATGTATTGTTTATATACAAAATTGCTAAGCTTCTTGCCTTCTCTTGAATAGACTGTCTTTATGTTAAGTGCCCTTTCTTCATAGAACCACAAAACCCAAAATAGGAGAATTGGAGAGTACCCAAGAACAGCAGTCTCTCTCTCTTTTTTTTTTTTTTTTTAATTATTTTGTGTGTGTGTACCGTCAAATCAGATCTGACTGGTACAGGAGGATATTGCGCCTCCTTCTCCGGCAGAGCATCTGGTGGATTCGAACCGTGTTTCTCTGGGATTGCAGCAGTCTCTCTTTTGATCCCATGTTCCTATTCATTACGAGTATTTGAGTGCTCAATTCCCCAGTTTATATAGGCTTATTACTAAATCATAACATACTAACTCAATGGTATTTATATTAAAAAAATACTAAACATGGAAAAGTAAACTAAATAAGTTGTGATCCCCCCAACACTCCCTGTTGGTTTGTATAGTGCTGTATCGCTTACAGTAGCCCTGCTTATGTAGCTTTGGTGATACCTGCACCCTTGTTTTGATCTAACTCTCCATTTTTTAGAAAACAGACTCAGAAAGCTTTACAACTGACAGCTAGGACTAGAGCGCAGATTACTTTATTTAAGAATTCTTATTACTAGATGTCTATGTTAAGTGCATCAGATACAAACATAAGCGTGTTATATATGACTTCCCACTCTGTCCCTCTTGTGCGAAAATTTGTTGTTGTGGTTAGGTGCCACTGAGTGGACTGTGACTCA